TGTATGTTAATGTGGTGTGTGTGTGTGTGTATGTGTGTGTGTGTGTGTGTGTGTGTGTGTGTGTGTGCGTCTGTATGTGTGTGTGAGTGTGTGTACATGAGTGTACGTGTGTGTGCATGAGTGTGCGTGTGTGTATGTATGTGTGTATATGTGTGTATTTGTGTGTGTGTGTGTGTGTGTGTGTGTGTGTGTGTGTGTGTGTGTGTGTGTGTGCGTGTGTGTGTGGGAGAAAGAGCGAGAGCCATTGAGAAAAAATAATACACTTAGAGACATACACGGTCTTTTTGGTGAGTTCACATCGTGATTGCTTTCGTTTATGAAAAAAAAATCGATTAACATAGAATAATATTATTTCACTTGTTTCATTTCAGAAGGTATCCAGTAACACATGTATTTCCTTGTGGGTGAGATAGATAGATAAATAGATAGATAGATAGATAGATAGATAGATAGATAGATAGATAGATAGATAGATAGATAGATAGATAGATAGATAGATAGATAGATAGATAGATAGATAGATAAATTATATATATATATATATATATATATATATATATATATATATATCAATCATATTAATATATGTATGTATAGAGAGAGAGAGAGAGAGAGAGAGAGAGAGAGAGAGAGAGAGAGAGAGAGAGAGAGAGAGAGAGAGAGAGAGAGAGAGAGAGAGAGAGAGAGAGGGAGAGAGAGAGAGAAAGAGAGAGAGAGAAAGAGAGAGAGAGAGAGAGAGAGAGAGAGAGAGAGAGAGAGAGAGAGAGAGAGAGAGAGAGAGAGACTTTATTCAAATTTAGAAAATCACAAACGCATTGTCTACTTCGTTGGAGTGATATGCCGCACATCAAAGTACACATTCATTATAATGCAGTGCCTCTGCACCTTGACCCGATAATTACTCGATTTTCCACCACTTTCTATTAAAGCAAGGAAAATATTTATCGTATCTTATCTTATCTGAAAACAAAACAATACATCAGGCAAAGAAAAACAAAAATCAACACAAACGTTGTAACACGACATGGTGCTTTTATTCTCAAATGGACGGCTTTCACGCATAGTTATGTTTGTAGATCTTTTTTTTCCATTGTCTGGCGCAATGCTTCAATCAGTGTCATCGAGTCGAGTCAGATATCAAACCTTTTGGTTAAAACAAACACAAAAAATATTCAAGTTTCACAGCTGATTCAGAAGAAGAAAAATGATTGATAAAGTTCCCTTCCCACCATCGCACAGTAGAGCATTTAAGAAATATAAATTTGATACCAACCTTTTACTTGACAACAAAAAGGCAAACACTTTATCAACTCTTGCTATCCCAATACGAACGCGACATATTTATATACAGTAGATTAAAATTATGTTTTAGAGTCTTCAAAGAAAAATTCAACAACGTTCAAAGTTGAAAATGGAGAATGAAAGTGCATTTAGTACAGTATATAAATTCAGTATAAAAGACAGATTATTGATTTACATTTGATATAAATGGACACATGAAGAGGTCAAAATAGAAGTAAGACCAAAGTAAAATTCCACAAAATGAAAATAATAAAGAACGAAAATAGCAATTACAATAATCATTATCACAGCTGTAGCTATATGAGACATGCCTCATGACTATTCATGCAGGTTTTGTGTTTCTGTTTCAGCACAGACCAGCATACAGAGGTATGTCGCTCTGTCTCATGACTGTTATAGAGGATTTTTTTAGGTCACAGAGACAACGTGTAGTGATGGTTGATTAAAGGCGTTATTGAATGCAGAAACTGACCTCTGACGTAACATCTCTCTCTGTGCTATGAAAACTCCTCAATTTCAAGTTCTCTTTGCTGGAGAATTTGCCAGGGTCTCTCTTAAAGCTGAAGCTTATGATATTAACCGAATAAACAGCACCCCCCCCCCTTTCCTATTTCCCGACAAGGAAACCAAATCACATGTCGATTGGAACAACATAGAGTAAGCCACATGACAATTGTGCCTTTTTGTAAGTCAGCCTGTGTTTGACTTGGAAGCCATAAATAATATGTTGCACAGTTCACGAAATGAATATTTCCAAAACCTATTCACGCGTAAAAGACAGCAACGCTGGAATATGTACTTGAGGAACAAATCAGCAGTCTATCCAGTGGGTTCGTAATTATAGGGGAACAACACGGCATATTTTCTAGTGGTACCGTGTCTAGGAAATAAAAACGTCGCAGAATGATACAAAATGTATGCTGAGCTAAATCAATAGCCTCGAAAAGTGCATTTTGAGAGGGAAAAACATAAAAACAAAAACGAAACAAGTCTCTGCAACTTAAAGTCATAGCCCAAATGCAAATAGCCGTATTGGCAACTTTACAAACGCGAATATTTGGGAGGCATCCCTATAAAGCACAGCCGAGTGTTCATCTGTTGCCAGCAGAACATGTCAGCTCGTGAAGGTTTCAATGTCACAGGGCATATATCCGTACTTTCTGAACAGGGCACAAAATACTTTAAGCTCTGACGCAAGCAATCAAGCCACTTTTTACCTAGACAAGCTCATATTTTACAGCCTAGTGTGATATACGATGACGAAAGTAGAAAACCAGCAAAAATGGAATTAAAACACAGGATAAGTCATTCGGCTACATAGGACTCCAGAATGACAAATGTCTATTTGCAAAGTCTATTTTTAACATTCCAAACTGAAGTATACATCGGCAAGCTATGCCAGAAAATATATTGATTAGAAAAATAAAATATCACATCTGCAGTCTGTAAAAGCCACAGATTATTTGGAATGTATACAAAATAAATCTAATTATAAATATTGTACATTATGCAACGCATTGTAATACTGTCGATACATCATCACCATGAGCTTATCTTTCATCACTATCATACACAAACGAGAAATAATAGAAAAACAAAACAACGGTATGAAAACCATCAAGGTACGTGTGTATACAAATAAACATCTCATTGTTGAGTTAAAAAGTAGTCAATGATGGACGTTATTATAGTGGATACAATCTATTCTGAACAGATATTACTTCAAATTCAAACGACGTTGGTGTATATGATAGCAAAATTTGCCAGATAAACAACAAATCTAAAAACAGAGACGGCTTGTTGGCAACATACAAACCCGCCATTTCTTGGTCGCCAACCGTCACAGAATAATAAAAGGATGTTCCGATCCAAGCAGGAAGTTCCAGTCCAAAAACGTCTTTCAGCCTACTCAATGACAGGTCATAATCATTATACTAGATTACTTTTTGCAGAAACTGCACAAATGTGAGATTACATTGGAAAATACAGAAGAAAATGGCATCAGTAAAAAAATTACATGTTTGCCTTTGTTTGCTTTGATCAATTGTTTGGCTCGAACAATTTTGTCTACCCATATTGTTTTTTTTTCTGGAACGGGCGTAGTCACTTCATAGCGACACATTTAAAACAGCCGTACATGGAGAGAATGGAAGCAGTCAATATGGCCACCTGAAAAAAAGGCAGTAGTCCTCAATGTTTTCTTCTTGTGACTTATGCCGTTTCCCCCCTGAGGTCTTCATTTCATTTTCTTACAATACTGTCAATAAATGCATAGCAAGCACATGCATTTGTAAATAATGCTTTGAAGAGAATAAGTTATACAAAAGTAAACCAATCACTCCCCCTAAATTGAACATGATACTAGTTTTTGGACCTCCTCGATTCCGTCTACCTATATTGTTATTATCAACTCCTTACAATTTACAGAGGCATATACCTTAATCTCTTCTTTCCTAAGACAAACAATTACTTTCCCCTAGTACTTTGTCTTGTTTCGGGTTTGAACGTTTCTTCGATGAACTTCTCGTAACTGATTTTGCCGGTGAGGTCACGGTCAAACTCGGTCATCACGTGGTACACTTCGTCCTCGTCCAGGATCACGTTGGCCAGTTTGAGGACAGAGCGGAATTCTGGGAGAGACAGATAGCCAGTTCCGGTCACGTCCAACTTCCGGAATGCACGTCGCAAGTTCTTCCAGTCACCTGCCAGCTGTCAAGGGAAACAATAATTATTAGTGAAGACTTTTCATATTTGACAACAGTTTCTCGAAAAAAAGCCCATCGAATAATAAACCAGTGACCATAGGTGCTTTTTAACGCTTCTATTAGGGTAACCATCTAGGATCTAAAGCTAACTCTTTGGTTTCCCATTTTCATATGGACGTCTCACAATATATCACAATACCGATAAGTAAAAAAAAAAGTGGCACCCAGTAAAACAAAATAGAATAGTCTTATTTCTCAGCAAGCCAGAGCAGGCTGAAATATAAAGAGCCCATGAGTTCCAATGTCAAGGGCACAACTCTCCACTGATTTGACATCACCCGTACATTTCAACCCCACTAGTGTGGGAGTGTTATCTTTTATCCTTTTTATGTCTGTTGTGCCCCATTCTGAGGACTGAGGATCGCGTATTTCAAAACTCCCATCAAAATACCCCCCCTCCCCCTTTGAAAGCAAGAAAACAAAACAGAACAAAGCAACAAAAATAATAAAAATGCGGAAAAACCCCAACAGGTACAATAATATTAATATAATCAACAACGTGGCGTCGCGTGGCCTAGAGGTTAGGCTACCGGACTCGTAATCGTAAGGTTGCGGGGTCGGGGGTTCGAGCCGCGGGCTGGACGTTGTGTTCTTGAGAAAGGAACTTAACACGAATTTTCCTCACTTCACCCAGGTGGGAATGGGTACCCGGCCATAGCCAGCGAAAGATCTTGCCAGTATATCAGTGTTTTAGCGCCTATAAATGGCCACTTGCACTGTATGCTTCCCTGGAGGTTGAGGTTGTTTCAGAATGCTCTCAGGTCTCCTGAGGTACTGGGGTAATAGTATAGATTGTGAAGCTCATAGAGCCTGCTGTTGAGCGGGGATTTGCGCTATACAAATGCCATCTATTATTATAGCACCAAGAAAAGCAGAAGTATGCACACCAAAAACAGCAGTGTGTTTGTGTGTGTGTGTGTGTGTGTGTGTGTG